CACATTTTGTATTTAAAATTGGAAAAAACAATTATAGTAAAAATTCATTTTTCATCGAAAAAATATTTTGGCTTCAAACAATAATATCCTTAATATATATTATTCATAAAAACAATTAAAAGGTTATTAATTAAATAATATGTTAGTTTTATTGGATTTTGCATTTTACAAATTAGAGCTAAAGTTTGGGTAGAAACGCACCTCGATTTAAAAAAAAATCGATGATTTATATTCTTCATTTAATTAAAAAAATTATAGAGATACATATATTCGAGTGTTCATAAAATTAAGTCGGGAGGGGGGCAAATGTAAAAAATATTTTTACCAGGATTTTCTAAAAATAAAAATTTCTAAAATAATTTCATTCAGTTTAAAATTAGTTCTGAAATTTTCATTAAAATCCGACAATTTGATTTTTACAAGAATTTCCAAATTAATGTTTTTTAACTGAAAAAAGCGCTAACAAACCTAATGCTAAATATTACACGACGGCTGACGTAAAAAAATATGATTTTCAACCAAAATTTCGAACATGCTAGAAATGAATAAATAATTTTTAAAATAACTAAAAATACTTTGATCTTTCCTCTTATTACTAATATAAACTTTTTCAAAATAGAAATTTGTTTTTATTGGGTTTGGGACCTTTTCCCCATCATGCTATGCTGTTTTTGGCGAATTATTGTACATACCAACATTTATTACTTTTTTTTAAGCATTTCACCCCTAGCAAGGCGGGAAGCCACTAGCACGTAAGGGGCTACAGAGGATTTGGATCGAGAGCAGATAGGAACGATAGAGGAAAGGATGAGGAGAAGGATAGTGGATAGATCAAGGCAACTGGAAATGCCGATTGATATTACATTTGAATAGTTGGAGATTAAAGCCATCAGAGAAACAGGAGTAGGTAAGGGAGTTCTACAGGCAAGAGGTGCGAGACATGAAGCTATTGGAGTAGAAAAGATGGCTACATTTAACAGTTTCAACAGTGAAATGGTGAGAGCGGGATGTCAGTCTCGTAGAACGCTTGAATTCATGAAGACTGGGAACCAGCGAAAGCAGCTCATCGGAGCAATTACCATGAATGTATTTGTAGAAAAGAGAGGCGACGGCACGTCTGTGGGAAAGCGACTGTAGACAAGATGTCAGATCAGGGCCAATTATATTGCATATCAGTCTCTAGATCTTATCAAGAACCTCGAGGCAAACCGAAGGGGCTCCAGACCATATATGACAGAAATACTCCATGCAAGAGCGAATGGTTGATTTGTAGATTTGAAGAATCGATTCCGGGAAGAAAAATTTCCTGGCGCGGCACAGGGAGCCAACTTTCCTTGCGGTGGACGAAGCAATTGACTCAATGTATTTGTTCCATCTCAGGTCAGTAGACAACGTGAGACCGAGCAGCCGCAGAGAGGCGCTCACGGGAAGTTCTTATGGTGGGAGAGGGAAGGATCTCTGTGGTGATTAATAGAGAACAGTTTTGTTTTGGAGGCATTAAAGTTAACCAGCCAATTCCTGCACCAGTTCACAACTGATTGGAGGTCCTTTTCGAGACGAACGACCAGGTTAGTTTTGTCAACGACACTATAGTCATAAATGTTCTATTTTATTATTAGCTTACAGCCATATCATGTTGAAACATTGAACCGGTGCCTGTATGTTCATCGAAGTTAAGCACCGTCGAGCCTAGATAAGCAACCGCTTGGTAATACCAGCTAATGTAAGCTTGGGTGTGAGGATGGGACAATGGATAATGGCTCGGAATTGTTAATCGGAGAGCCGAGTTCGAATTTCAGTTGAGTTCTGCGGGAGAATATAAATTAAATAATGAATAAAAAAATAAATAATAAACATAATAATTTTAAAAAATAATTTAATTTTCCCATAATGCAAATGGAAACCAAAAAAAAGGTTTTCCAGTCACGTGCAAAGTGTGTGACCCCACTTCCGGAATGGAGCTCAGCTACTGCCTGGATACATTCGAATCGAATCATTGTTTTGCAGCGGTCCTAAGGAAAGGAGATTCACTCACTCACTCACTCACTCTCTCTCTCTCTCTCTCTCTCTCTCTCTCTCTCGCTCAACATCATGTTAACTTGAGGTCGACCACTCTCTTACCTCCGAGTTTACTACACACACGTGAGTCAATAAAGAATTGACCCTTAATTTTTTTCAAAATATTTTTTTGGCTTTAAATAACATGCAAAGGGTTAATAAGCCCTAAATATGAATAAATCAATATTTCATTATTAGTTTTTTTAATCATTTATCATGTCTAATAAGATTCACGGTAAGAAGGAATCTTCAATCCGACTTATAACTTTTATTACAGTCAATTGTTATAATTGTTTTATTTTATTTCCCCAAACAGTTTTCTTATCAAAGAAGAATTGTCTGGAAATGATAGAAAAGTGGTTCTACTGATGGATACTGAGAATACCATATAACAGAACATTCGAGCTGAATGAAGAAGTTTTAAAGAAAATGGGAACAAGAAAAACGAAAAAAGGAAAGAGGACTGAAATTTATTGATCACATTATGAGAACGGACGGCTTGGAAAATTTAATACTCATAGGACGTACTGAGAAAAGGAGGGGTAGAGGGAAACAACCAGCGACTTAATCCGTTTGTAAGAATCGATGACGTTACAAGCATAAGATGGGATGTTAACGAACCAAAAGTTGCTTCGAAGTGACGGGTAGTTTAGAGATAAAAGACCATACCACAATTGTTGTTAATCTCTTGGCGCGGTGGAATTATTTGTATATCTCTATAACCCGGAGGCAGGAGCTTATTTTATGATAGGTTCAACTGTGCTAGATAGGTGGGTAGTAAATAAAACCTTAGTCATCTAGAGGAGCAAACCACAATGTCAAAAGTTCTGGAGCGGGCAGCAGTTCTCCAGTTGGATTAATAGGCAAGCAACGAAAGATCGATACATGGGTTTGATATGCTGTAGTCAATAATCAATGATAAGCGACACAGTCAACCACAACGAGATGGATCAACTAATTCTAGTTATCTGAATACTGCGCTTGCTAGATCAAATCGTGTTTTTTTTTTTTTTTTTAGTTTAGAGGCATATCAACCTCTTTGGAGTATTTCGACGTGGTGTAATGGTTAACAAGCGTGTTTCGTTGGGTAATTACGACCGGGTAGTGAGTTCAATCTTCACGGGGTGCTCCACACTTTCAGCCTTGTGCCACATGTATTCCATACTTTCGACTGAGTAAGTTCGATTCCCACTGGATGCCCCATACTTTCAGGCTTGTGCCACATCGATACCATAGACATGGTGTAACGGTAAGCCTATTCGGTAATGCCCGACCTAAAACTCATCATTATCTTCATTATTCACACTTTTAAGGGAAAAAATATAAGGTGGAACATTTTTTCGAAAAATTGTTCTTGATCTTTAAAACTGTCTGTCTATAATTCTTAGATGACGTATTTTAGCTATTTACACTACTTACATCGTTCTGACTTTACCTCATCTTTATTGACATATTCACGACGTTTCGGCAGTTGTACATTCCTCATCTTGTTGTTGTAAGTTCCCGCCTTCATCAGGATCTGTCTATAGTTTTGAGATGAGGTATTGTAGCTATTTACAGTATTTACATCGTTCTGCCTGTTGTTCTAATCTTTATTGCCATATTCACGACGTTTCGACCGTTGTACGCCCCGGTCTTTATCAGGTGATATATGTTGAACAATATACCCACGTGGACTAAATAAAGGGTTAGGTTCGATTTTGAACTTGTATCACATGAAGATGGTCGCAACATAAAAAAGCCGATAAGAGCAAATGATATAAATGGAGTAAATATAAAAATGTACGTATCAATTTCCCATTATTGGCACTCAAACTATTGTCCGTATCTTTATTGTTAATATTACAACCTTTCGCACTATAACCTTCCTCAGATACTTATTGACCTAAGTAAATTGACTGCGTAGGTGTTCGAATCACGAACGGGTCTCATTGTTTTACAAGCTGAACTTAGTAAATAGATACCGTCAGCGTTGCGGATTTAGCTAACGAATATCGAACTGTTTTATTTTTGAAAGCCAAGCGCTGATAAATTTTAAACATGCGACCCATGAAAATTAACTCCAATCCAAGAAATGGTTTGTAAATTTTCACAACATCAAAACGAAACTGCTATCATTTAATCATCATAAAAACTATTTTTCTCTCTATCAGCATGGCTGATGCTAACCTCCAAGAAAGTCACTCTTTGCGCCTGCATGGTCCCACGTTTTTTACTGACATGAAGTAGAGCGATTATATTGAATCAATTGCTAGGTCTGCTGCGAGGAAATTTGGTTCACTGAGTCGTGCCAGATAATTTTTCTCGTCAGAATCCATCTTGCAAATTTATAAATCTACCTTCATCTTTGTATTGAATACTCTGTTGCATGTGGTCTGATACTCCGTCTACATATCTCAAGATTCTTGGCAAAATCCATAGTCTGTAATGTTATCGGTCCTAACCTGGCATCTCAACTTTAAGTCACTTTCTAACCGCCGTGATTTTGTTTTCCTCTGTCTTTTTTCATGGCATTTGCTCTAATGCGCTTCCTGCTCCTGGTAACACGATCGCATGAATTTAAGCCTATTACTAGATTGGCAATTAGGTCTCAATATTCTTAAAATGTTGCCGCAAGTTGTATTCTAATAACTTCTTTTCTCCACTTCTTACCTCTGTAACTCTACCGTTTTTTCTTTCCTGATGGATTGATTCGTTTTCTGTGGATTATCAACCATTTTCAGGTTATTTAAAACCAGAAAATCTTTTAGATTGCAAGAATGTTCTTTTATAGATAATAATGGTTTATTGATACGTTTCTTACTAATTAACCCATAGCAGGGGAAGGGCTGGATTCATAGCATTCTCAATTGAATTTTCGTGTAAGAACCCAACGGGATTTTGAACTCGGCTCCGATTAATAGTTCTAAGCCATTATCCACTGCACCACCCGCACAACCAAGCTTACAGCACTTGGTATCACCATGCGGTCACCCATCTAGGTACAGAGCAGGTTCGACATTGCTTTACTTCAGTGATCGTACAGGAGCTGGTGTTTCAATGTGATGTGGTCATAAGCCTTGCTACCCTACCCACCACAACCTCCAAGACATTAAATACGTCAATATTGTATTATTGAGACCTATTCTTTTATTGTTCTTTCTCCTCACTAGTGTCTTCTCATTCTCTCCCACTCCCAGTAACCACTTGCGTCTTAGTGGCATTATCGCCCTGCTTTGGAAGTGAAATGATCAAAACAACAACAAAAAAGCAGTTTTTTGTCTACGATCAGTGTTGCATCTGTGCACCCTGTCAAGGATCAGTTTAGTATCCGTGCATTCTGCCTATGATCAGCATAGTGCCCTTTGGTTCAGTTTACTCTCTGTACACTCTGCCTTGAATGATTATCGTATCTCTGCGATTTACCAATTTTAGAACTTAATTTCATTAAGGTGTTTAATCAGAAGAATGTTGGTGTAGTGGAAATGCCACTTTCCTGGAACCAGGAAAGTTCGAATCCCAGCACGTTTCATTTGTTATTTATATCTCTTTGCTTTATTGCAATAAAATAGTCATAAACGGATGATATCCAACACTACATAGCGTATTATGTAAGCAAATATATAGATATAGATCCGACAGTATGAAGAAAAATATACAGAAAAAACAAACAAAAATCCTAATATGCAATTATGCTGTTTTAATGTTAACATTATATTAACATTAAAACAGCATAATTGCATATTAAGATTTTTGTTTGTTTTTTCCGTATATTTTTCTTCATAGCGTATTATATAGATAGACTTCAATTCTTTCCCATCTTCTTAATTTAAGGACCTTCCTCCCCCGCCCCTTACGAAGTAAAGTTGACTGTCAAAATGTCACTGTCAAAAAGAAAAGAGATGAAAGCTGAGGAATGAGATGATAAATTGTGCTTGTCTTTTGTGAAATAACGAGGTTGGCAGTTTGGGTGCCGAGAAACAGGAAACGCCAAAGACATTCGGTGAAGATGGTTACGTGTTTGGTCGCATATTTTATTGCTGTAATATTGAATCATTTTAAATTATTTTCCTAACTCTTTCGGCCATCTTAACTCTCCCATGCTTTTCTCCTCTTTTTGTTCCTTTTCTTTCTTCATTTACATCTTCTTCTCCATCTATGGCGTACTTTTTATCACCTCATTCTTTAAAGCATATTCTTAAACTTTCCTCTTCTACTCGCTAATTTCTCTTTCTACATTCACTTTCGGGAAATCTTTAACCGTTAAACAATCTTGTGTATATATATATATATATATATATATATATATATATATATATATATATGTGTGTGTGTGTGTGTGTGTGTGTGTGTGTGTGTGTTGTCATCCACAGATAGACTGTTTCGCTGTATCACAGCACATCAGTGTGGCTAGACGTCCGGTTGCCTATAGCTAGGGTCGAAACTCGACTGAATAGGCGCCAGTCGGAGATTCTACCCCTAAGCCGTTGGTCACGGCAGGGATGAAAGTGAATTTAAGCGTATATATTTTTAGATAAACACACAGTAACTGAGAGAACCCGATTCGCTCTACCGAAGATTCTTGCATTATTAGGGAGTAATAGTCACTGTTTACAAACTCACAATTCCTCCCCAGAGAGCTCAAACGAAATAAATTTTTCAGGAGCATATATATATATATATATGTGTGTGTGTGTGTGTGTGTGTGTGTGTGTGTGTGTGTGTGTGTGTGTGTGTGTGTGTGTACTGCCTTGTATATATATATATATATATATATATATATATATATATATATATATATATATATATATTCCTTTAAATAAAGTGTTGACGCGGATTTTACAACTAGACGCCACGTTAAATATACTTAAACCGACATAAAAATGTTGTTGTAAAGAGAGAATTTAATATTTTTCCTGTTCTATATATAAATACAAACAGGCTATCTTCCTTATTAACTAAAAATTAACAACCATCTTCCCGTCCTGGGTAAGACGATAAACTACATCCAACAGCAAGGCCTCTTATCAAGTTTTGAGGAGCGTGGAACCACCTCTTAATTTCTGGTGTTCCCAAGTCTACCTTGACCCGGGGTGGTAGCACCTGTTAGGGCCCCAGCTTTGGGCAAATACTTGCCCCAAATCTGGGGTCAAAATGCAGTGAAAGTGTAAAATAGGTTTTAATACCAGTAATACATTTTTGTAAAAGGTTATTTACAGTAATGAATTTTTGAAAAAAATTATTACCAGCAATACATTTAAAAAAAATATTACCTACAATACATTTTTAGAAAAAAAAATATTAGCGGCAATATATTTTTGAAAAAAAAATACCAGCAATAAAAATCATGTCGGCATTAAATAACCCATAGAGATTGATATGCCGTAAAACAAACCAAACAAAACCAAACACCTTCCTACACTTTTAAGCGCACTAAAAGGAAATATTTTGTTAAATTTTCATGTTAATCGCCCCAATTCCATTAATTTTGGACAAGTATATCTATCATTATTGTTTCATGATTGTATAATATCATTTGATAATACATACATATACAAGTTCTGTCTAAAAAGTAACGGGACATGTCACAAACTATTTATTTCAATTCCAAACAACAGACTATATGATTTCCATTTCAAAGTAATCCGTCTCGAGTCTAATGCACTTTTCCATCCTTCTCTGCCATGCTTCTATGCACTACTGGAAGGTCGATTCTCGGATAGCCCTCAGCTCCGTCGTTACGGCCCTCTTGGTGGCCTCCATGCCTTCAAAACGGGCCCCCTTAACGACCCCCCGCCCTGAGCTTGGGGAAAGAAAAAAGTCACAGAGAGCCAAATCAGGTGATCAGGTTCCAGTCCAGCGATGTTTTTTTCTCCCAGAGAGTTGTGCGGAGGTGCGTTGTCGCAGCAACAATTTGTCCTGCCACAATTCTCACAACTGAAAAATATCAATGATTGCAGAAAGCTAAGATTACAGTTATATTCTCCCATGATATCATGTTAGATGATAACACAATCCACTAATCGCTCTTTCGCTCACACAACACACCCAGTACCGTTACTTTTCAGACAGACCCCGTACTACTGGAAGCATTAATTCATATGTAATTCGATTTATTTTTATGAAAAGGTTCTCCACACTGGACTAAGTATACAATTAAGGACACATGACACAGTGGATAAAGGCGTTAGTTAGATCCAGTGACAGGACCCAAAGAGTTGTGAGTTCAATACCTGGTTAAGGAAGTGGAGAACTTGGATTTAACAGGAGATAATTGATAACTGACATTAGACATGGCACGTGGAACTAGAACAGTCTACCCAAGCGAGCGAAATAAAGGGTTCAGTTCGATATTCCAACCACTTGAAGAAGGCCGGGGCGTATAACGGCTAAAATATTGTGATAAATATGGCGACAAAAATTAGGACAATAGTCCGAATAATGTAAATAGTATACATAATACCTCATCTCAGAAATATAGACAGATACTGAAGTATACAATGTTGAACATTTAATAAAGTGTGTTAAAAAACCATGTGCAGGTGGTGTAGCAGATTGGAACGAGAACTCGACGAATTTGTTACATACGATATCCTAGCTAAATATATAAATCTATCTTTTCTATGAACAGACTAAGCTTTTCAGTCTTGGTTGACAATTAATCTAGGCGAAGGAGAAATCTAAATTCAAAACCGGCGAGACATGAGGTTAACAGCTTCCTCCGGTAAAGCCTACTGACTACCTAACCCACAGCAGAAACTCAGGGCATATGGACCGCCGCATCGGCCATATCTGCAGCCTCGAAGTCTGCACCTGCTTACATTAATCACATTTAGTCGTAACTAAATTTTAAATACAAAATACTTACAATACAAGGTAGTACAATTTAGTCATTTTTATGTTGTACTGATGATTGACATCGCTTTAGACAAACTATTCTCGATAGATCAGGTTGGAATGTCTGTGTAGATCCCACCTTGATCAAAGATGACAAATGTTCATCAGTTAATCTGGTTCTGTGAGACATTTTTGTGGCCTTCATAAACAAAAATAACTGCTCACAGACATATGTGGAACAAATATCGCCATAACCTTGGTGGCAAAATTTCTGAAGTTCTTAAATGTCTGAGGAAGGTATGAAAAAATTCCAGGTACCCCTATTTCTAGGTACTTTCCCTTGAGTGTTGAGTCAGTCTGCATTTCCATTAGTTCCATCTGTAGACTTTCCTCTGCCTGATCAAAAGTGAATGGTTCTGAGAATAATTCAAACTAATCTTCACAAGATGAAAAATCACAAAATCTTCACTGAAATTCCTTTGACAGCAATTCCAGGTAATTGTTGTACAGACTCGGTATTGGCAGTTTTTTTTTCAACTTCTTGCACATAGGAAAATGAATCAAGTTTTCATGTGACAATTGGGACTTCAATAAAGCTAATTTTGCAAGGAAACACTTGATATCATCATATACCTGAGTGATAAACTTGTTTTTACCTTGCAATTTCAAATTAAGGTCACTTAATTGGGCAGTAATATCCACTGAAGATCTTGAAGCCAGCTTTCATCTTTCAATTCATCTGTGCTTTGATCCTTCTTCTCCAAAAACATAACAATTTCGTATCGCAATAAAAATCTTTTCAGTACCTTGTGAAATGAAAGCCACCGAACTTCTGTGTAGAATGTGACAATTGTAAACAGATTATTCATATCTTCCAATAACTGGCTAAACTGATGGTGATGCAGAGCACGACCTCTGATATAATTCATTGTTTTGTGAGAAAACTCAACAAATGATCTAATTTTAAAATCTCGAAACACGAGTTCTTTTAATGAATTATACAGTAAAACTGCTTGAATGTTGAATCTAGATATGTTTTCTATTTTTGTACCTCATTTGACAGAAAAACCATTATGTCTCCCAACCATTTTAGCAGCACCGTCAGTAGATAAACGCACAAGTTTAATCAAATCAAGGCCATAGTCATGGAGAAGCTGTTCAACTTTCTCAAAAATGCCCTGGCTTATTGTAGTATCATACATTGGGACCAGTTCAATTAATTCTTCATAAATTTGAAAT